AGATATCTCTTTCGTTTTGGTTCTTCATTTATGTTATATTTTATCTGTGGGGAGATCTTGGTGACCTGTCACACAGGTTTCTACTGAAACCAATTTCGGGCTCCAGTCTCTCACAAAATTAAGATACAAAATGTTTTTAAGAATCTTAAGACTCACATGTAAGTACATAATTTTGTGTTGAGAGAATTAATGATTATTATTTATTTATTTTCTTTATTTATATAACTCGATAATCACAGCATAGAGTTTCAATGAACATGCTAAAAATATTTTATTAATTGGCAAAGATGATCGTGTTGTTGCAGGAAGAATTTTTTACCAACTGACATACAGAAAGAACATATCGCGTTACTCAAAATTTCAAATTACAAATAATGAACAAAAAATATATTAAAGATCAAAGACAAAAAGTTTGGATGCGGAAACCTAGGACAAAATAAACATTCTGGTATGACGCACCGTTACACAATGTTTACTTGAAACTCATCATACCAAGCCGCCGTAGTAACTATGAATTCAAATTGCTCCATGGTGTGAATCAGTGACAAAGCTTCTGATGCAGCAACTGAGTCATTAATTATTTCTTGAAGATTCAAATGGCATCACGAACTGAAGAGTAGTTATAATGAACAGTAGTAAGGCAAGAAACTACTCTTCCAACGAGTTTCGCAAACTTTTTTCAGTGATGATCCTTCTTTGTGTTTAGATATGACTTTCCACCTCTTTGTTGGCCCAGAAAATATTTCAAATAGTCTTTGGAGAAATGCGAATAAAGAAACCGATTTAACGGACGATTTAGCTGCATCACTATTACCAAAATCAAGCGATTCCAGCCACATGGGTAAATAAATGCTCGAGAATATTGGTTTAGAATCCTTGTTTAGACACCCATGATTATTCCTACCATGTTGGCATGAAGTTCAATAGAGCTTCATGGTTCGTACGGCCGTTTCCGGCGCCCCCCACGTGACAGCGCCCAGTGCGGTCGCGCCACTCGCACCGCCTTAGGGCCGCCGCTGGGTATCTTTATGTACTCAGATCATAGAAAGTACCTACATATAAATAAATCAATAGTAAATTGATCATGAACAATATAAATAAGAGTAAAAGAAACTGCAATTAAAGTCAATTTATCTTGGAATAAATCAATGTCACCACTAAAATAAGATATTAAATTTCTTCTCATAATTCACTTGTAGCCAAAGCCGCGCAATATGGATGATTAATTAACTTTTTTGTAAGGCCGGTAAGATATTTTAAAATTTTAAACAATTACATAATTATGTAGGGAGACTGGGTACGGTTGAAGCAGGGTACGGTTGCAACAACGCTTATAATTTCTAAAATATTAGCGTGCGACGAGGGGTACAAGGGGAGGGAGACGCGGAAGGTAAGCCTGCACTCGTCTCACAGTGTCGCACTGCTCTTCGCGCGTTAACTACATTTCTAGGACCATCTATTGTATTTTATCGATCAATAGTAAGTATTTTCTATTGTTTTCTTTTTATGATTACTATGTTAACATATATTATGTACATTGTGAGTGATATTCTGCTTAAATGTTAGTCCCAAAGCATTCGGAAATAGTGATTCGTTTTTATTAAGGTACTTTCTTATGACCGTTTTGTTCGTTGCAAATACAGTTGTGGGGCATGGGGACGGTTGATACAATTTTTGTCGGTACGGTTGAAACAATTATTTTATTTGCTTTTTTGTTGTAGATGCCGAGGCAACGTAAAAGAAAAACAGTTAGAGGAGGCTGTGATATTACTCGCTACAAAAACGCATATGGAGAATTACAAAAAGGCACTTCTCTACGAAAAGCTGCCGAAATGTTTGGAATTCACCACTCTTCTCTTTTTCGGTATAAAAAAAAAAGATACAGCGGCTGAAGCAGGTAACCAGGCTAAAGTTTCTATGGGATATGTAGCCCACGATAGAGTATTTACTCCTGAACAGGAAAGTCAACTGTCAAATTATTTGATCCGTTGTGCAGATATTTACTTTAGTCTGTCAGTCAAAGAGGTAAGAAAATTAGCATTTGAACTAGCTATCAAATATAATTTAAAAATACCATCTACATGGATTAAAAATGAGACTGCTGGGGAAGAGTGGTTTCGCTCTTTTATGAAGAGAAATGTGAGACTATCGGTGCGTACAGCTCAGGCAACCAGTCTCTCCAGGGCAACGAGCTTTAATAAGAACAACGTGAATGCTTTCTTTGACAATTTGCAAACTGTTTTTGACCGTGACCACTTCGAACCGCAGAACATTTATAATATTGATGAGACCGGCGTAACGACAGTACAGAAGCCCGACAGAGTCGTTGCAAGGCGTGGAACACGACAGGTAGGAGCAGTAACATCTGCTGAACGTGGCACTTTAGTCACATTAGCCTTTGCTGCAAACGCGTTGGGTAATGCTATTCCCCCAATGTTTGTGTTCCCACGAGTTCGTTACCAAGATCATTTTATAAGAGATGGCCCAGTGGGTTCAATTGGAACTGCAAATCCATCAGGTTGGATGCAAGATGATTTATTCATCGAATTTCTTAAACATTTCAGGAAGCATTCAAATGCCTCTACTACTCATAAGGTACTGCTTGTTCTCGATAACCATTCTTCCCACATTCACATTAATTCTCTCGACTTTTGCAAGGGAAATGGTATCATTTAACTTTCATTTCCGCCCCATTGCTCCCACAAATTGCAACCTTTGGATAAATCTGTTTTTGGGCCATTGAAAAAAGCCATTAACTCCGCCGCTGACGCTTGGATGCGCAATAATCCTGGCAAAACAATAACCATTTATGACATACCTGGAATCATCAAAACTGCAATGCCACTTACTTTCTCACAGTCAAATATTCAGGCTGGGTTCCGAAAAACAGGAATTTACCCTTTCAATCGAAATTTATTTCAAGATCTAGATTTTGCGCCGTCATTTGTCACAGACAGACCAAACCCAACTGATTCGAGAGAAAATGTAGTCACTACACCTGAATCTGAAAACGCAGTTACATCAGCAACTGAAGAACAAACGTCAACACTTTCATATCGAATATCAATTCAGCCGAACGAAGCTTCTCTTAATGAAAACCTGCCCCAAAACTTAGAGGATTCAACAACACCGCTGACACAAAGTTGTTTAAACGTTCACCAACAGTTGCAAGACACGACTATTAGCCGAGAAACAAATATACCTTATACAGATACTACTGATGTTTTGACAGTTTCTTCCGAACAAAGTTTTAATAGACACCAATCACCCCAACCATCTACAAGCAAATAACAACCCATATTTTCTCCCGAAGAAATAAGGCCTTATCCAAAAGCTGCTCCCCGAAAAACAACTAATAGAGGGCGTAAAACAAAAAAGTCTTGTATTTATACAGACACTCCAGAAAAGGAAGCTGTAAGGCAAGAACATGAAACTAGACAGAAACGATTAAAAACTAAACAAGTAAAGAAAATAATACTTGAAGATAGTACAATAAAGAAGTCAAAAGCAAAGAAGAAAATTGGTACACCAGATTCATCAGAAGAAGATGAATATTTTTGTCTTATATGTGTGGGTGCATACACAGAGAGTAGACCCGGAGACAAATGGGTCCAATGTCAAGGACCCTGTAAAATGTGGTCTCACTTATTGTGCACTGGTGGTGGGCGAAACTATATTTGTCACAATTTTGACGAATCTGATTAGGACCTTATTTTTTTATTACTTTTAATTTGCAACAGCTGTTGAGTTTATTAATGTTCCTACTATTTTAAGATTTTGGAATTCCTGTTTGATTGTTATTATCTTAGATAAGATCAGAGCAGCATTTATTGTTTCGTATTAAGTAAAACTGGAGCAGAGCTCTTTGTTGTTAAATTATGTTAAATCATTAAGACTGATTAAAGTACCTCACTAGATTTAAACCTGTTTTGATGACGTATTAATAAAAAAGAAGTTACTAATTATAATTTAATTCTGTTTCAATTGACCCCCATATCTGTTTCAACCGCCCCTGGTATGAGTACGGTTGAAACAAAGTCACCTCATGCTTGTAGAAGCCTGTAATCTAAAAACTATTGTAAGAAAATTCCCATTTTTCATGTCATTTAAAGACAAAAGTCTACTCTTTCACTTTAAGTGTTTTACTTGTAATTATGTTTGAAAATAGCAGTGCTAGTGACATTTATTTTGAAATTGTTTCAACCGTACCCAGTCTCCCATATATTTTTTTGTATAAACTATAATATAATAATAAGAAATATCACATAACGTCACACCTTTGTAGGTTATATTCGAATATATATTTAGATAACTTTTCTATATATAAAAAACCCGATTGCGTAAAAATGATTTTAAAAAAATAAATGAACAAATTAAGTTAAATAAAAACTAAAAAGAAAGAAACAAGTAGTTTAGAATACTGTTAAGTAATACTAAATAACTACACAATTGAAATACATAGTTTTATAATCGATACACACATAAAACAAATCATAAATTCTAATGCAGAGCAAAACGACTCATAGTAGGGGCCCCTTGGGAAGATTTGATTGGTAAAATTTGAATGGGCCCCGAGTGTGAGTCGTTTTCTGTTCTGCAATAGAATTTATGATTTGTTTTATGTGTGTATCGATTATAAAACTAATTCAATTGTGTAGGTATTTAGTATTACTTAAATACCTATTCAACGACACGCCACTTGACATAGTTCATCGATTTTTTTTTTCATTTTGACAATATGGCGTCTGGTTATCGGTGTGGTGAATTTTGATTACTGTCATGTCTTTAGGGACACTCACAAGGTTAAGACGAATCGATTGACGTAAGAACCATTAAAATCGGCCTATGCATTTGGTCTCTAGAACGCCACATAGAAACAAACACAGAACACAGACGTTTCCGTGTTCTGTGGAAACAAACATACATACATAGACTGATGAACACACTATCCTTCCTTGCGTCGCGCAGTCGGGTAAAAAGGTTGCTAGTTATTTAGTTTGGGATCTTGGACAAACTGCGATTTGATGTTGTCTAATATAAAAATAAAAAATTAGGTATTGAATACACACTATAATTAATATCGTAAGCGATATTAATTCGCAACGCTCGCAGTGTAACCACGGGCGATATGACTGATTAGAATGATTCACAAAGTAATGATAAGAGTTTTTGATGTCGAAAAGTATTTAATCTCTTTATTCCATCTTAGTTCCCTTCCAATATCGTGATAATTATTCTGATATCTGTTTGTTAGTAAATGTTTATTATTACAATTAAAACGATCATAGATTCACTTATGCGGTAAAAAATATGAAAGTATGGACAATGAAAACTGCTACGTGCAAAATAAAAATACAAATAAACTATACTTTGTAAACCTACAATACACTGCATACTAATAAAATATGTAATTCTGATTGTTATTGATACGAAAACAAATTTTTATTTGTAGTGTTGCTGCGTTGTGTTAAAATATATCCCTCAAAAGCATTTACGCAAAAAACTTCATCGTTATTTTACTATACTTAAATTTAAGCCTGCCTATAAGAGATTGAAACGATACAATTATATAATTAAAACATTATATTCCATAAGAAGAAATAAAATAAAAAACATAAGTAAAAAACAAACAACGCCGCGCCGTGAGATCGTCTTATTTCGTGTCGGTAAAAGATACGCACACGAAACGCAACAATTGATAAAAAAAATCACTTCTACCTACCTCTGTCTATAAGTCACACACCATTTATTATACACTAACCTTGCTCCAAATATCGACACTTATAAAGTATTGTGTTTCGTTTATATGCAAATAATATAAAGTGAAATGTGGCCTACGTTAGTGTATTTTTTGTTAGCCATTAGTTGTGCGGTTTCAATAGACGAATACGAAAATGTTATTAACGAGAGGCACGACTTATTACAGCGCGAGTTGGACATGATGCTTGGGAATGAAATAACATTTAGTGACAGTGAAATAAAGGCGAACGAGATCGTAATGCATCTCAAAGCAAAAGAGTTGGATAGAGCTTATCGTAGCCCTTATGCGTATAACTTTACGAGACATTTCTTCGAATATAAAGATGCAGTTAAACAGTCGCCGTTGTACGAAATTATTAAGAAAATGCCAAAAGGTGCGATACTCCATGCTCATGATGTTGGACTGCTAAGTCCCGATTATGTATTAAACATGACTTATTGGGATAATCTCTATGTCTGCTTTGAAGAAGACAATATGCAACTGATATTCTCTGACAAAACACCTAAAGTAACTTGTGGAACTCAATGGCAATTGTTGAGAGACGCTAGATATACTTCGATAGATGTCGAGGAATTTGACGCTGAATTGAGGAAGCATTTTACTTTGCTCGTTGATGAACCTCACGAGGTTTATTTTGATGTTAATTCAGCATGGAATCGATTCCAACAATATTTCATAACGACAGGTCCCATGTTTTGCTACAAACTTGCGTGGGAACAATATTTTTATGATACATTAAAAGCAGTTAGAGAAGATAACGTAATGTACATAGAGATACGTAGTACATTACCACCTCTTTATGATTTGAATGGGGAAGTTTACGATTCTATTGCAACAGCTGAGTCTTATAAGAAAGTTGTTGATCAATTTGTGAAAGATTATCCAGATTTTTACGGAGCAAAACTCATTTATGCACCAATGAGATTAGTCGATGCCGCTACCGTGAAAGAATACATAAAAATTGCGAAAGAAATAAAAAGAAGAATGCCGGATTTCTTCGCTGGATTCGATCTGGTTGGGCAGGAGGATTTGGGTACGCCAACTAAAGAATTTCTCTCTGAATTGGTCGCAGCTAAAGACGAATTAGATTATTTCTTTCACGCTGGCGAGACCAACTGGAACGGTATGAGTTCGGATGAGAATCTTTTTGATGTTATCGCGTTAGAAACACGAAGAATCGGTCATGCTTTCGCTCTTGTCAAACATCCCTTGTTATTAGAAGAAGTTAAAAAGAGAGGAATAGCGCTGGAAGTTAATGTCATATCGAATGTTGTGCTGAAGTTAGTTGGTGATGTTAGAAATCACCCTTTGGCAACTTTCCTGGCCCAAAATGTACCGGTAGTTTTGTCAAGTGACGATCCTGGTGTTTGGGAAGCTGATCCTTTGTCTCATGACTTTTTTATTACATTCATGGGTGTAGCCAGTCGTCATGCAGATCTGAAGCTTTTAAAGCAACTAGCATTAAATTCATTGTACTTTAGCACAATTAAAGACAAAGATAGAGTAGTACACGAATTCGAAATAAGATGGACGAAATTCATAGATTCATTAGTTAGAGATAAATGGTAATTTAATAATTTGTACTATTCCAAATATAGGGTTATATTACAAATATAGGGAAAATTCATGAACATTGAATTGAACGTGACCCTATTTTAGCTAGATTTTTTTTCCAGAAATTTTAGTGACTTGCCTTGTAGTGTTTTCTATTATTTTATTTAAACTTAAGTTAACAGTATCTTAGTTATATTTTATGTGAAAAGAAAGCTATTAGAAATAAAGAAGAAAAGTTTTATTGATTGTATTGGTTTGCTTCGAAAGCATTGGACCGATTCTAAATATTCCTTCACCTACGGGAAGCTACATGGGAAAATAGTTTATAAATAATATATTGCATGATTATAAGAAGACAAAGACTCTATTCTCATATTTTTAAATTCCTAATTGCATGTGTTTCTCATAGGCTGGGGTTACAATTTACAATAAAATACTCTTTCAATATTAATTTCAATGATTGTTTCTATTAAGATTTATACCATTGACGAATCGACGATAAATGTCCACTATGAAATAGAAGTTACTAAAATACGAAGATAAAGATATATATGTTTTATAAATAGCTAATCTCCAATACCGACTAAAAAAGTTTTAATCCTATTATTTATTTTACTTTTTCATTGTCAAAAGAGATATCACTATCTTCATGTTTGGAATTTGTTGTTTGTTAAATATTTTACGTATTTATTTATAAATAAATAGTATAAAAAACGCAATTTTTATTTCTAATCATACTTATATTTAAGAGCGTAACAATATCTGTCTGTTTTTTTTGGAAACTTTCCAAAATACTTCTCCAGTTCGAGGACTTATAAAAACTACAGGCTACTCTTTGATTATATACTTATCTATAATCAAAGAGGCTGCTATTAAATATAGATAAAAAGAACTACAGAATACAGTTGAATTACGATCTGAAAAGTTTAAAATAAGAAATTTATTTTATAGCGAACGCTATTTTATAATAGCGTTGACCAAAGGACAGCATAGTCGTATGCCACTGACCATAACAATTTTTTTTTTTTGGTTTCTTACTTTATGCTCTCTAGAGGGCGCCGATTTATTGTAACGTCTCATATCCTATCCTATAGCATGCGGACAATTAAGACGCTTCTAATGATAGCTCATTTGTCTAGTTACGATGAGTAGTTTCGAAGTTATAAGGGATCAGATGAACATTCTTACATACATACCGGCCAAAATCATATATTCCTCCTTTTTGCTTCTTAAAGAAGATACTTTTCATAGACTTTTCACTGAAGTAAAACAAATCATCACAAAGGCATACTAATTATGAAACAGGAAACATCATATTTAGGTACTTCATTTCCTATGCTTTATCAATGAAGCGTCGAAAATGAAAATGTTTTAATTAAAGTATATACTATCTACTTACAGCAGTGGTAAACAACAGCCTCGAACTCGTCGAGAACAGCCCTGTGAACTATGGTCAAATAGAACTTAAATTTCAAAAGGTAATAAAGGTTTGATTTCATTGAAACTCTAAGCTTTCACAGCGCTGGGTTCGACGTTGGGTTCCGGGCTGTTTTATTACAGAATAGTATAGTTGCAAATAAAAGCTACTCTAACTCAACAATCCATTGCCATTTCAAAATTTATTATTACATCTCTTATTCAAACAACTCATCACACTTGAATTGTAAGTGTTCATCCGTAGGTCTGTTAATTAAGAAATTGTTTTATACAGGATGTTCGTATTAAATAGGTACATTTTTTTCATCACCAAAAATACTCAAATATAGGGATGGTTCCAAATGTCTTTTTCTCTAAACGCCTTTTGACAATTTTGACTTTATTGAAAGAATGATATTCTAATTTTTCAAACTTATGAAATTTTAAATGTTGTATTGAAGCAAGATTGCAAATATCATTAATTGAATTTGATCTTTTATCTCGTTAAGTAATGTTAAATTTTATCTAAAGCAGCGCTGACTCATTAGTACACACAATTATTTCTAATACGGAGACACATAAAGTTCTATTAAAATTACCAATATGTTTTCTTAAACGTCACACTACTATATAAAAAATATGTAGAGGCGTGACGTCATGTAACATTTGAACTTTATCGCAGTAATTAATTGATTAGGAAATAAATAAGAAAATCTTGTTTAATATTCTTCAATATTCTTTATATATTATCCCTATTTTAAATAGGTTGACAATTTTTAACTATATATTTACAATTTTCAAACGGAGGGAAATGTGTTCTCTTTCAGGCATTTGTTATAAAATATATAGGATGTATGCCAGGGCATAGGCAGTTGATCGGATTAAACAAATAGGTAAACCGTCGTTCGTTGTGTCTAGGTTTTTCCAAGTATTCCTATTGATTTTAGTTCGATGTATATGTCAATAATGGAATTAGTTGTACGGAAAGCAGAAGTTGATTGTTCCAATACTGTCTAAAAATAAGAAGTGAAAATAGGTCGCAGGCTTGTGAATGGTTATATTTTATAGAACATTGAACTGCTGGTCTATACCAAATGTATTTGTACGATTAGGTATCCACAAATACCCAAAATATTTAGTTTTAACAATTAAAAACGAAGCTACGAAGCTAATAATATAGGGCAATATAGACAAAAATCAACATTGACCCGATCAGGAATCGAACCCTGTTCGGTAGCGACGTCTTTAAACCATTTTCTGAGTCACTTTGCCACAGAGCTTGTAAAAAAACTCATACTTTTAAACAACCTGTATATGATAGACAGTCACAGATGGAATAGATTATACGGCCGTAAGATGCGCCTGCGCTCCCAAGCGCTAGCGTTAATGTTCACAGTTGCGCACGATTACAAATTCAGCTACATTATAATTGGCATCTCTGAACTAAATCGGTGTAAGTAAGAAAGTCGAATTGTTGTCAATTTTCTATAAAAAATAATATAATTTGAAAACTGCAACAGCGGAAAGCTACGCTATTCTGTTAAATAACATCCATCATCGTCGAACGCAGTGCATTACCTTTTGAAGTAGATTTAATTTTATTCAACCTCTATGGTATTACAGCGGTGCATTCATCGACAAATTCGAGGCTGAATTTATAACAGAATAGCACTGTAGACTGGGTTCTATTCTAATTGGCCACAGGCGGAATATGTAGTAAATATCCGGTCAGTAGATTTCTTTTTGACATTTTTCTGTTCACTTAAAGGAAGGAAAAATGACTTTATTTTTGAGCTGATTACGTTCATATTGCATTTTAAGGAGAAACGGCCATAGGACCTTATTTTGCTAGAAAAATGTAAAAATCTTTGATTCTGACAAAAATATGAGCATGAATCTGGAAGCCAAAGAAATGATCAGATTATGTCCTAGATGATGGTGCTAATAAAAAAAGAATTGAAATGCTAATAGATTAGAACACGTAAATGTGTTAAATTAAGTATTTTAAGAAGATTTATAAATTTGTAATTTTTTATTTCATATTTAATAACTCAAAATTGTTGAGATATAAGTTTGTCTACACAATATATTTTGAGATATTATTGTGTACCTACTTTATTATTTATGTATTTATGTACTATGTTACAATATCTGAAGTATTATTATTGTTGCACATTAAAGAATGAAATGATTTTTTAAGCCTAACAAATAAAATTGTGTCGTCTATCGAGTGACTTAAAAATTGTAAAAACACGAGATGTTCCGTTTTATGTAACGTCTGAAACTAATTAAGATCCCTTCACACATCAGCACACGTTACCAGTGTAACCATTAGGTGTTGTATCTAATTGGTGTCAAGTGGGTATGTCCCGAGATTTATGAGATTAGACGACCACACGTGTCACTTTTATATGTAGGTTTAGGTTTAAACAAACGTATATATATCCTATTGTTTTTTTATTTTTTGCGTTCTGGAACAATTGGATATACAGAAATTACCTAAACCATTGCTGTCTCAGATACTGCTTATTACGGAGGTTTTAGCTATTTATCTATACTAATAATATAAAGCGGAAATATTTGATTGTTTGTTTGTATATTTGTATATTGTTGTTTGAATATTTCGAATAGGCTTCGAAACTACTGGACCGGTTTTGAAAATTGTTTAACCTACGGGAAGTTACATCACATGCGATAAATATAGGCTATATTTCATCCCGAAAAACAGCAAATAAAGTTTTTTATAAAATTTTTAACATTGTGAATGCAAAATTATCATATACATATAGGTAATAAATTTAAAATATTTCTTTAGGCTATTTGGGGAGATTGCCTGAATATTGAAGAAAATACGCTCAATAGAATAGTAACCAGTGCTTGAAAAAAAAAGTTAGCCAGTTGATCTCAGGTAACACAATGGCTAGAACAGCCGCTCAGATTGCGAAAAATTGTGGTACCTGGGGCTAGATGGACTCAAAATGAGATAGATAATACTTAGGGTAAGAAATTTGTTTAATTTATTACTTTCAAACTATTACGTTTATAATTTATTACCACAATGTTATTTTTTCACAAACTAGTTGATATATACTCTAGAATAGAATAATTTATTGCCTGAAACGGTTTCCATGGGTATGCAGGCGTGGTATAGAAGACTACTACTATATCTTGGCAACATTTATCATGAAAAATTTTTATTTATTTGATCAATTTTGCATTAATAATACTAAACAAAAAAAATATTTTTAATGAAAAATGCTTAAAAACTCTAACTTGTACTTGGCATTACCCCATCTCAGAGTGCCAGAGACAAAATGGATTTTCCATTAAGAATCGACGTTTAGCCGTGCTACTGAATGGCGCTTTTCAATTAAAGTACTAGCAGTTATATCAAGCTGCTGTTTTGTCCAGTCGCTGCATATACACGAAAATCAAACAAAAGTAGCACAGTAAGCGATCAGTTGATTCTATTTAGGTCGATGGTCTAAATTCGGTGATACCGAGTTCAAATAAAATTGCACAATGTTATCATATTTTCATACAATGTCATTGACATTAACCAACTTAAATATTTAAAATTATCAACTAATAAGTCGTTACTTCAAGCGTTGGAGATTTTGAGATGGTCAAATTGTTGAAGTATTTTTCCGTAAGATTAAATAATTCATCAATTTATTGAGGAACCACATGGCATAGACCGTACGGTCTTCAGTAAGTAAAGTGAATTTCGCAAGAACCGATACCTAAGGCCTGTGCCCCAGTATTGGGAACATTAATAGGCTAACAATGATGATTAGGGTCAAATATCTATTTTTTTTTTTCTATCAAAAATTTAAATAATTGTGAATTCAAAATTTAACGAAACGAACGAATTAAATTTAAAATCATCAATTTTCAACTATCTCTGCCCTAAATTTTATTCAGTCATTTTGATCTGGTGGAGTAGCACACTCCCTGCATGGGTCTAAACTTGTCTGAAAACTCAGAATAATCTTTTTACATTTAAAAAGATTTCATATATATTATTATTTGAAAGTAAATATTGTCTATTTCTATACTTCGTCAATTTTTAAAATAACTAAATAACTTTAAATAATAAATAAGCGACACCTGCAAGGAAAAACATCTTAACTCACTTTTTGCTGACGCTGAGAAAAAATGGTGATCTTACTTAGCAAAAAATGCGGATTTTTTTATATTGTACTTATCCCCATATGTGAATTGTGTATAGTTTATATTTTAGAGGGAGGTAAAACATTGTAAGTAGGAGTCAACTGCAGTTACTAAAATCGTTACATGTAGCTTTTTAGGTAAACTATAATTAGTCAACATCAACAAAATTGTAATAGTAGATACAACCTTGTTCTTAGAAATATTTGTATATTTTATGTACATTTATGTCTATAAAACTCATAATTCATACTCCAGTTGTAATAAGCAAGTTTTATTATGATCAATAACTTGATCGAGATCTAACGAAGATCGATTAATTTAAATTACAAGGTCTTACAAGTTTTTATGTTTGCAAAGTGCCTGGTTATACACCAGTTATACATACTTAGTTAGGAGAAGTCCCTGATGTATTGATGGATAAAAAACAGTATATCTAGTACCGTGTTCCACTCATTATCAAAACTGAACAGCTCATGCGGTCTGTAGAATCGATGAAATGTACACAACTTACGCTACTCTTCAAAGCAATTAAACAACACGAGTCGCCAGTAAGACTTCATTAGCTGATAAAACCTATTAACATTGATCGTGGAATTTGTCAAGGCTATACAATATCTCCAAAATATTTATGGGGGCTTTTGAAAATGTCTGAAAATTGTTAAAATGGAAGAACAAATGACAAAAGAGATAGTTGAGTAGCCTCAGGTTCGCAGTCGATATAGTACTGTTGGCCCACTATGTTGGTGATAGTTGAATCTACAAAAATAGTCTTGAATAAGTTGGCAATTGAAATCTTAAAGAACAAATCAATGACGAATATTTCAGACGCGGAATCACAAGAAATGACAGTCCACATTGTTCACCACTACATTCATCTAGGACATAAAATAACGTTGGGATTATCTATCATGGGTTCTTTACTCAATTTTGCGGATATAAAAAATGATATTATCAATCCGTTTATCCTACCAGTTTTCACATATAACTATGAAAGCTAACCTGACGAAGAATTAGATTGCCAATCTATGAATGGCATAGAGGGCAACGGAAAAATCTCTATTAGGACACTGTTCTATGAAATGCCTAACGAACGTATTCGAGGACACAAGTGATGGCCCAAGTCATTTTTTTCTATGAATGCTTGAACCATACATAGGCTTGAACTAAAGATTTTTAAGTATACACAAAAGACTTTGGTTTGAAATAACAAATTAGGATTACAATACTTTTGAAAAGACATAATGTTAAATACTTTGTTTCGGAATGTTTATTTTAGCACGTTTTTTATACAAATAGCCGATTTTTATATGTCTATTCAGACGAATCAATCATGATATGTTTTAATTAAAATTCGATATATTTGATGATAATTAAATTTATAATTCTCGATTTAACTTATTATTAACTTTTATGGTAAATCAAAGGATTTGGAAAATTTGTAATATGTGTTAAAAATATACGTTATGGTAAATAGGTACTCAATCCCCTACGATTTTATGAAACAATATCGGCTAATTTTTTTTTATCACAATATACACGCACGTATCGTACAAATACATACAAAAATCAAATGTCAAAAAAATAAAACAACTCAAATTCTTTATTAATATTAATACAGTCTTGTTTCTAACAATAAATACAATTATACCTAATAGATATATAAATAAGCACAATAAACTAATTAAGTCCTCCTTCTATGATTTTTTTCACAAAAATCGTCCATTTCTCATTAAAGATATCATAAAATCTTTTTTTCCTGTCTTCATCTAAAGCACTGTAACGTATTGAGTTGAGGGCTAACTGTTTCAGTGTTCTAATATCAGCATGTACACTGGCAACACCAACAAAAGTTACGTAAAAATCATGCGAAAGTGGGTCAGCATCCCAAGCCCCGGGGTCATCGCTTGATAACACAACTGGGTATCCTAAAGCTAAATATGAAGCCAACGGATGATTCCTCACATCCTTCACTAACGATAGAACAACATTAGATATAACATTCATCTCCAACGCAATGTCTTTTTGGTTCATAGTAGCTAACAGTGTTGGATGTTTCAGCAATGCATAAGCATGACCTACCCTTTTAGTTCCCAATAGTACAGCGTCAAATAAATTCTCATCACTAGTCGTTCCAAACCAATTCGTCTCACCACCATGGAAATAAAAGTCAATTTCATCTCTTGCTTCTATTAAAACTGGTAGGAAATCTTTTAGAGGTTTACCTTTATCTTCCTGTCCTACTAAATCAAAGCCAGCCAGTAAACCAGGCATGTTAGTCTTCAACTCCTTTGCCATATTAATAGTATCACGAACCTTCTCTATACTCGACCAACGTCCGGAAGTTAAAATAAGTTTGATGCCAATAAAATCGGGATGTTCATCTATAAATCTTTTTGTAATCCTTTCATAGAGTTCAGCTAGATAAAGCGCATCATGGGTAGTGCCATCAAGCTCGTATATATCATGTAAACCACTTCTAATTTCCACGTACATAACGTTATCATTGTAAAAGTTCTGTAGTGCCTTATAAAAATATTTTTCTCTCACCGGTCTGTATGTAATTAAATTTTTTATGGTCCTGTACACTTTGTGAAATCTCTCCCACGTTTCATTGATATCAGCATTTAATAATTCATCATTTTCAGTGTACAAAGAGAAATGTTTTCTCAACTCCGCATCAAACTGTTCTACGTCATCGGATGCGTCCCTAAGATCTTTAAGGAGTTTCCAGTTAACAGGACACAATACTAACGGCACTGCGTCAGAGAAGTGTAATTTTAGACTGCCATCGTCCATGTAGCAAGCGTATAAGTGGTCTTCATACGTCAATTCCAATAAACTGTCTGCATCTAGCATCATTGAAGCGTGTATATGTAACGCACCACCCTTAGGCATCTTCTTAATTATCTGATAAACTTTTGACTTGGCTATTTCATTTTTATATTTGAAAAAATGCTTCGACAATTGAAATGGCGTTGAATTTTTAAAAGACGCCTCTATTTCTTTGTTTTTCCAATACATTAGGATCTCGTTCGCTTCATTTTCTTCTTCGGTTAGTTGTAAAGAGCTTCCTAATTGTAAATTATCTTCTTCTTCGAGAAATTGTGTTCTATCCAACATGTATTTATTTAAAACAACACGGGCACTGTATCGTGTGATAAGCAACGATAATACGACACTATAAATGATTGAGCTTCTCATTGTTTTTCAACACTTCCTTGTCATTGGGGTCAGTTAACTCTGACAGTGACTCTGGACGACTAAGTGTGAGGTACTAAATCGTAAACGCGTGCGTGTTGGTTATTTATACGTTTATTACTGCCACCAAGTTGAACCAGCTCATGCATCTAGCCATATCAAATAAATATATATTAATATTGATGATTGATAGGTCTTCATATCTTCTATACTGCGTATGTCAAGGTCACTGGGGTTATTGTACGTAAGCGATTGCATTTTACTATCCCATTATAATGTTTGTTAGATTGATTTCTCGAAGTTTCCAGTTGTTTTCAACGGTGATATGAAATTTTCTCTAAAGTGAAACGTTATGATATATTAAATGGAAATATGGAAAGTTTAGGTCATGAAAATTGAGAAAATAATTATATAATAATGTCTATATCTTACAAGCCACTTAAGATTATTGTTTTGTATATTTATATTACACTTTAAGGGTTTAAATTTTGTATTATTTTTATTGTTTCACATCGAAGGTGATTCTTAATTATAATCTTCAGAATACCTATAATAATACTAGCAGATACGGATATGTCTTATTAAAATACTCTTAAACAATAATATTAATTGAGTAGATGAGTAAACTTTTATGTTCACGACGAATAGAAGTTAACGTAGGCAGGTTTATGATTTATTTTTATGGTTACATTTATAACTTTACCTATGTTAGTTATATTGTGAATATTGTATAGGTTTTCTCTGAAATTTCGTAAACAATGAAACCCCCTTTTTATATTCTTTTTATCACAAATCTATCCTTAAGATGACTGTGTTTTTTTTTCATAACAAAAGATATCTACGAACGGAAATTAAAACGGTTTTTAGGAGACACCGTAAAATTAAATTATCTGATTAGAAAAACCTGTAGTCATAAATAATTCACCTTTCGTAATTTGAAATTTCGACTAATCTAATATGCTTTTTATGAATGTCAGTTCGTAAATAATTCATGTGCTGTGAACATGATAATATAATCATATAAATTTAAATATAAAAAAATAATAATTTACATAAGAAAAATGTTAATCTAAAAGTATATCTTCGTGAAATATCTTGTTTGTTATAGTTTTATATTTTCTTTTCTTTTATTACCGTATAATAAAATCAAGTTCTCAAGTTTAGTCAGCCTTCCATTCGTTCGCCCAAGCATCGAACTCGTCATAATGTCACGAGTATACTTGCTGATGTTTTCTGCCTACAAATATATCTGAATCATTAATTAAGATGGACTTTGAATTCATAATATCTGCATACCTATCAATATACTTATATAATAAAGGAGTTTGATGGCAATGTGGAAGTTAATCAACAATCGCAGAGGCTGATTAAAGGATGGATGAGCAAAAATGTGTGCGTGAGCGTAAGTGTATTAGAGCATCGTCTATTGACGAAGGAAACGCACGTTTATGAGCACCTTAATACGAATTACATGTTGAAATGTTAATCATCACTTCCCAGCCAACCAATCATATCCACAAGATAATCCTTGTACTATATTGACACTCTATTGTGACGCGAAAGAAAAACAAACATACAAATCCATGTTTGACATTTGTTTGTTATAGTTTTTTTACCCTGAGTCAGGGGTCGGCAACCTTATGATTATGAGACGGAAAAGTCAAAAGTCAAAATGTAGTGGTAAAAAATGGAATTATATTAAGTCAGGGAATAGAAAAATATTAGATAAAAGTACATATTTTTTGCTTAAATTTAACAGGAAATGGCTTAGATAATAGGCCTAAATTTAAAAAGTGAGGCTCCCTATAATAATAATAGTAGATTACTTTAGATTATAATAATAGTAGATTATATCAATATAGTCCAGAGTCAAGAGCACCTGTTACATGTTCCATGAGTTTAAAGCATACTAAGGATGTACTACAATTTTTTCGAAATCCATACTGATCCTCTTTGAGTATTTTATTTAATGTGATATAAGCATAAATTTTATCGTACATAACCTTCTCAAGAATTTTTGATAGGATCGGAATAAATGTTATTGGTCTATAGTTACACATTTCACTACGGGAGTCACTTTTGTGTATATATTGACTATAGATCGTTTTAGCGCAGTTGGGAAGTGACCTTGAAGTAAAGTTAAATTTATTATATGTGCGAGTGGGCGAACAATAAATTTTCCACTTTGCATTTTTTAAATTCATAATTATTTTATATATATCATTCTCATGAATTGGTGTTAAATATATACTATTCGGGTAAATTGGAACATTGCATGCAGCACTATGTAAATTAGATGTTAAGCCAAAGTTATTTTGATTTAGCTCATTTATAAAAAAGTCATTAAATCTATTACAAATGTCAAGAGGATTACGAATATATAAATTGTCACTTAATTTTATTTCACAAATATATAGAAAATGTGCAAAGATTTGAAGCCATGACATTTCAACTTGATATCGCAACAAATAAAAAATATAATCAACCTGACGGACAAAAAAATATCACAAAGAAGACGTTACAATATTATTTATATTGTATTTGAGATTTTATTTTAAATAAACTAGTTTGAATATGTATCTCTATTATAGTCAGCATGTCTCAATTGTATTATGGTTAATGTACTCAATTGATCCACAACACGATCTGAAGGATTTCAACAGTAAAATATTTATTTATATTTCGTAAAATGAACTTCAGAGCCGTAACTTTATATCAAAAGAGCCGCATGCGATCTAGCGATCCACAGGTTGCCCACCCCTGTCTTAGACCTTACATTATTAATGAAAATATTCTTGACACCTTATGGATGGTTAAGGAGGATGGACCACGACCCTCCATGCTAGCCCAAAGCGGATTGGAGAATATTAACGACTGCAAATACAACCGGGACCAATCGCTTTACGTGATTTCCGAAGCTTGGAGTTGCTTGAGATAATATATTTTTGGTCACCCATCCTGTGACCGACCTTTACGAAAGTTGCTTAACAACTACAATCACGGGCCATGGAGCATATTCACTACGCCACCGAACTACTCTGAACCGACCCTCAGACTCGCGTAATATTATACGAGTGTTGTGACCAATGAATAAACCATTGTTTCCAGCGAAGACTGAAAATACCAACTTACGTATCTACAGCAATTTGTATATTTAAAATAACAAAAAGAGTATTAACATAAAAATAGTAATAAGAGAAAAAAATATAAACATATAACTGAAGTTGTCTTTACGTTCTTAACTTCAGTTGACGTGAATCTAACTTTTTTTAACGTCGTGAAAAACCTTCTGATATTGTCTCTGTTGACCTGACAAGCAACAGGGGGTGAGTAGGATTCTCCTCCGTGAATCTGACAGTGAGCGGCCTAGTGGGTCCCCAGGGGCCTACCCACAAAAACTCGTACGCTTCACCCTCTCACGGGAGATGAAACCCGGCAAGCTATGGGCGAGTCACCAGGACACTCAAGTATTGGACCATTGGTCCCCTTGCAGATGAAAAACTGGAGAGGCTCGAGTAAATCGAGTGCCTCTCCCAGACAGACGAAGCCGTGCAATGCAGGGACGGCTGCCAAGCACCTCCGCTGGCCCCCACGACGACGAGAACCTAATCTGATAAAAATATGCATAAACTATGCGATGCTTAATTGCATCATCGGAAGGCTATTTTCGCTTGTTCTCCTACTCGCGTGATCGTATACCACACCCCATTATAAGCTGAACCCTATTTATTATGATTGGTCATAATAAATGAGGTCAACTTACTTTGGAGTAGTAAAAATTTTGGAATCTTATTTTTTTATTTGTCACCCATCATACAAATTATAATTTTATAGACATTATTAATTCGTAGCTCGGTGGCGTTATGGATATGCGCCGCTGCGCACGATCGCTATTGCTAAGCAATTTTCGCAAGAGTTGTTCACGGGATGGGTGACCAAAAATTATTAAACAAAGGCCCTGCAGTTTGGCTAGAAAGAGTTAATGATGATGATCAATATATCAAAGAGTAAAATATATTAAAACAGTTAATATTTCATAGCAATTTTGGCGAACACGTCACTGCAAATTGACATAACTTTTTTATTTGTGAACTGATTGAAATAAATCTAAGGGTTAAGGGAAGAATACCGCAATTTAATAGGGAAAACTGCATTTAAATCGGTTCAGCCGTTTCTGAGATTATCGTGAACAAACGCACAGACAAACAGACAAAAAATATCATTGTTTTGTGTTCTATTACGCTTATAAATGTCCCTCATAACAGTTTTTGACCCATGTGTTTTCAATGTACAGACATCGAGCAGTTACGTTTTTATTATAGTATAGATAGATAGATATGCCTTAAGTATTTCAAAAATTAATGTATAATAAAGAAACCGACTTATATACATTCCTACATTAATCCTAAACATAATCCACAATTTTTTGAGAGTAGTGTATTATAATAAAAAAAACTCTACGACGGCTGCAGCGCTGTCACAGTATAGACTTTAAATGAAGTAAGTAAGTTTCATTTTATTAAAGAGGTTCAAAGAGATTGACATATAATATATATTTTCGTACATTCCAGTCGTTGGTCTCAAGAAGCTAATCTGATGTTGTTTCTTTATGCAATTCGATATAACAAAATTTCATATAAAACAATGTGATTATGCATTACTTTTAGAAGTAGGTTACCATAGTATGTCGTAACTTATGACGGTGAAAATGTGATTCAAGGCTGATTGCGAAATTCAATATAGCAAGCCCAATGGTGTGCGTGAATTATAAACTTACTTTTAGAACACTGTGGAAACAGATCTAAATAAAGGCTATTCAAATGACCGTTTAAGTGTTATTTGAATTGTATTACAACATAATTACTCAACTGTACTCGTAACTTGACTACAAAGAGAAGTCATAATATTTCGGCACCTTCAACAAAAAATAACCAAAGTCAATCTTACCGGAGTTTCGAGTTGTAAAAAAATGTTTTGACCATACATTTATCTCAAGGGAAACGTTCAGTGGGACAAAAAGTAGCCTCTTTATTTTTAGTTCGACCGTTCTGTGTAATACCTATTTCTAATATCCAAGAGGTCCCCTGACTGCAATGAGGATTTTGTTTAGCCAATGCAAGCTGTTTCTTTAATTTTTAGATCGATATTTTTTTATTATTTTTTTATTATTATTATTTATTATTATTAATTTTATGGCACTAATAATTTTGTTTTTAAA